TTTTATTTTCAATTGAAGTGCGCAGCATTATTGCGCCAAGTTTTCAAACTTAAGTAGTAAAGAAATTTCAAATATTATTTTAAAATTATGGTCGTGCTTACCTAAAATTTCAAAAACAGAATATAAAATGAAGGCGATTAAAATGAGAAAACATCCAGATATTTTAGATGTTTTTCCTTCTCAAAAGAAAAGAAAATCTTCAGATAATCTTAATTCATATCTACAATATTTAATACAAAGTCATAACCTAATACGAATGATTCTCTCTTGTACTCTTCCTCTGTCAATTGTTAATAATAACGAATTTAGACAATTTTGTAGTTCACTTGATTCAAGGTTTATACTTCTCAATAGCGAAACTATAAGAAATACAATTATTAATGCATATGATCGAACCAACAAACTTATTCAAAATAAAATAATTGAAACCGCCGAGTTTGTAGCACTTACTTTAGATATTTGGTCACACTCTTATTTTGAAATAACTTGTCATTGGATTACATATGATTTCAAATTAATTGAAGTTGTACTTGAAGTGATGAATTTTTCAGGATCAGAACTTTTTGAAAAACATCAATTAACTAAATTTAGATTGGCTCATAAAAATATCGTTAGCATTACTGTTAACAATGAAGATAATGGTAATGTAAAAACAGCTTTGTCACAAATGCAATTTGAAATTATTCCATGTTTGGCAAATATTTTGCGAATTAGTGTTGATTCAGGTAAGTATTTAATTATTATTTGTTATAATTACTTTATTTCTACATCGACAATAAAAAGAAATTATAATAATTGGTTTAAATTTTTTTTCTAAATTCGCTTATGCTTTTCTTACAAATGCCACTTTCGATAATGGTACGTACGTATTTAATGCAAATTTTAAATTCTAAAATGGAAACTTAGGATCTGTAATTTACTAACATTTGTTAAAAAATTTTATATAGAAGGGTTCGCATATGCTAATGACATTATAAACAAATCAAAAAAACTAATTAAAATTTTAATTAATGACGCGAATTACCAAAAGTTAAGAGATATACAATAAATTGATCTGAATATTAAACAACCACTAGATGTATTAGATTTTGAAAAAGATTGGAATTCGATTTATCATGCTATTCATTATTTAATAATACTACAGGCTTCAATTTAATATTTATATGAGAC